TATTATTATTATTATTATTATCATTATTATCATTATTAATCTTTATTGTAGTTACTGTTGTTATTATTACTATTGTTATTATTATTGTTCTTATTATTACTATTCTTATTATTGTTACTGTTTATGTTATTGTTATTGTTATTGTTGTCGTTATTGTTATTGTCATTGTTATTTATTCTCACTATTATTTTTATCCCGATTACTATTATCCTTACTATAATTCATATTACTCTCATCTTTGTTATTCAAAATGTTGTTCTCTTTATCATTTTTATTTTTTTTATTGTTCTTGCTATTATTCTTACTATCTCTCTTACTATTATTCTTACTGTAATTTTTACTCTTACCCTGCTTATTACTATTATTATTCTTATTCTTATTCTTACTCTCGTTGTTTTGGTTTCAGTTTTTTTAGTTCGTTTTGTTTTGGTAATAGTGTTGACAATTTCTTTTTTCCTACTTTCGATTCTTCAATTTTTAGTGGTCGTTAAAGAGACGCAGATAATATTTGCTACCATATTAGATCTCTTCCTTTAGTAGAGACAGCGAAGATGTATAGTGGCATATGTTTGAAGTATTTCGATATGTCGATGTGTTTTTTTTTCTTTGCCCGGCAAGTGTTGATTGAATAAAAAGAATTTGTTTTTTATCCTTTCTTGACTTTTAATTTTTTTTTTTTAGGTATATATATGTTTACATTTATATTCATACCTGTATTTATATTTATATTTATACCTGTATTTATATTTATACGTATATTTATGTTTATATTTATATAAATATAAATACAGGTATAAATGTAAATAAATAATATATATATATCACTATTTACCCTTTTATGACGTATACGTGCCCACTTTTTTTTGTAAATTAATTTTTTCCTCACTGGTTTGCATTAACGAAAAAAAATGTTTTAAAAAAAAAAAGACGAGCAGTATAATTGGAGGGACGGCATAATTATGAAACCGAATTTTTCTTGTTGTTCTTTGTGATGCTTCTTAATCATCTTTCGTTTTCAAGTTTAGAGAAAGACCGTTAAGAATCAAGAAGGGGAGTAGGTTCGTACTATCGGGATAAATGCTTATCGCTTTGTACCTCATTCTGTCTTTGATGTTGTAAAGAACGATGACCATGAAAATTAGTCGGAATGGCAATACAGTCGCTGATTTGGAGATTGGGCCAAGTTTGAATCCTTTGTCAAGCGTTCTGTAGTGCGCCTTCTTTTGGTGCCTTTTGCGGGTTTCAGCGCTGCAGATTTTCTCCTTCTTACAGTTCTTTCTCTCGTTCTTCGTTGTTGTTTTTTTCGATGTTGGACGCTTTATAGTTTTAAGTTCAAGAAAAAGGCGGTGTTTATCTGTTTGAGCCGTTTAGCGTCCGGTTGTTTATATCAACGGCGGACGTGTTGGTGAGGAGTTAAAACAGTGAGAAATGGTATACGTTAATCAAAAATGCTACATAACGAAACCATTCTCTCATTTCTTTATTTCTTTTTGAATTGGATAAATTCGTCAATTTTTTCAGTGATTATCAGCTGTACAAATTTTTTTCAGCTATTATTGCAACCATTTTTCTTATTTAGTTTTTACTATTAGTTTGCATTGTTACTGCTACTTTTTTTACTACAGGTATTGATAATACTGTTATTGTTATTTCAAAATCTCTGAGCATCAGTCGTAGCATCGTCAATGACTACAGCAACAAAAATAACAGACGTAACGATGGCAATGTTGATGAATACTTTTGGAGTCTTAACACTGAGTAGTATATGGTGGCTTCAGATTTGTTTAAATTTGTTGTTTGATCGACTTGTACTTGGTAGTTTTCGTCCATTGTCATTTTTTCTTTACCACTTCTGCTGTTTTGCCGTCCTTTCCTTTTTTTTCTACCACTTCCCACATGTTTTTATTTTTTCGTTGTTTGAACATGGGGTTTTTTTGTTTATTGCCGTTTTGCATTGGTGTATCGTGGA